AGGATTACAGGTGTGAGCGTCCATGCCCGGCCTTTACTACTTTCTTACACAGGCTGTAAACACTGCCCATTCACTCATCTGTTCTCTTTTCAGTTGTCTTAATATGACCATGCCCCTGCTTTTCTATATAGCACATGCCCAGTAATACCTCATCCTGAGATTAGTTGATTAGTTTTCCTTCACTAGTCTCATAGCCAATACTGTTTGATACCCATGGATATTTCTACCCTCTGGCTAAGTGCCATCACAAATTCATGGTTAACTAATAACCATGGTGGCTGAGCTGGGACTTGAACCCAGGCAGTCTAGATTCAGTTTTTGTTTTCTTAACCACTTCTCAATAAACACACTTGAAAGAAAGGAAAACTATATACCTTATAATTTTCACTTCAGCATATTGTAACTAAAGTCCAAAAGAAAATATTAACAAATTGAATCCAGCAATGAATGTGTGTGAGTATGGGTGTACATGTAGATATATACATACACAAATAATCATTTTGATACTGGGGTTGTCCCAGAAATGAAAAGATGGTTTACTACTATGAAATTATTGATTATATAAAAGAAGATGTAGCTTAATGAAGAAACATATTAAATTTATAGATTATAATGGTAGGATTTTATTCCTTCTTGTGGCTGAATATTCTTCCGTTATGTATATGTACCATATTCTCTTTATCCATTGATGGACACATATGTCAATTCCAAATCTTGGCTATTGTCAGTAGTGCTGTAGTAAATATGGGAGTGCAGAGACTCTTTGATGTGCTGACTTCCTTTCTTCTGGATGATACATCCCCAGAAGTGAGATTGTGGAATCATCTAGTAGTTCTATTAATGATAGATCTTAATATTTTGTTATTAATATAATAAACTTAATATAGTTGTTTTGAGATAACGTCATACTGTTCTCCATAATGGTTGTACTAATTTAAGTTCCTTCGAACAGCGTGTAAGGGATCTCCTTTCTCCACATTCTCAATGACATTCATTATACCTTGTCTTTTGGGGACGAGCCATTTTAACTTGGGCTAAATAATATCTCATTATAGTTTTGACTTTCACTATTCTAATGATTCATGTTGAGCATTTTTTCATATACCTGCTAGCTGTTTGTATGTCTTCTTTAGAGAAAGGTCAATTTAGATCTTTTGTCCATGTTTTTATTGAATTATTTGCTGTTGAATTCTTTGAGTTCCTTATATATTCTGGTTATTAAACCCTTGTCAGATGTGTAGTTTGCATAATTTTTCTCACATTCTTGGGTTTTCTCTTTGTTGATTCCTTTGCCGGTATAGGAGCTTTTTCGTTCCTATTTGTCGATTTTTGTTTTGGTTGCCTGTGCTTTTGAAATCTTACTCAAGAAATCTTTGCCCAGACCAATGTCCTGGAGTGTTTTCCCCAGTATTTTCTTTTAGTAGTTTTGTGATATAATGTCTTAGTTTTAAGTCTTTAAATATATTTTAATTTGATTTTTGTATACAGAGAGAGATGGGGGTATTTCATTCTACCACATATGTATATCTGTTTTTCCTATAGCATTTACTGAAGATACTGGCTTTTCCCCAACATACATTCTTGACACCTGTGTCAAAAAAGAGTTGACTATAAATATGTGGATTTGTTTCTGGGTTTTGTATTTTGTTCCGTTCGTCTACATGTGTGTTATGCAGGTACCATGCTGTTTGCTTGCTGTAGCTTTGTAGTATCATTTGAAGCTGAGTAATGAGATTCCTCCAGTTTTGCTCTTTTTGTTCAGGATAGCTTTGTCTATTCTGGGTCTTTTTTTGTTGCATATAAATTTTAGGATTATTTTTTCTATTACTGTGAAGAATGTCATTGGTATTTTCCTAGTGATCTCATTGAATGTGGATTGCGTTGAGTAGCATGGACTTTATTTATTTATTTATCTGTCTATTTATTTTAGACAAAGTCTCACTCTGTTGCCCAAGGTAGAGTGCAGAGGTGTCCTTGTAGCTTAATACAACCTCATACTCCTGGGCTCTGCCTCCTCTAAGCACACAGATTTTTTTCTCTGCCAGTGGGGAGGGGAGGGATGGTATAGGCAATCCAAGACTGTCTTTCCTACCCACTGTAATGCCGCTTGCCTTGATTTGTATTAAAACCAAGTACTATGATCATCCACTTCATTTTTTGGTTCTGACGAAGCTGCATTCTTGTGTTGATAGTTTTGAATTTTTTATTCCTTTGGGGAGAGAAGCAGTGAAAGGTTCTATTCAGCCATCTTCCTTAGTCCTTCCTTTCTTCTTTTCATGGTTGTTTGGGTTGTTTCCATTTGGGGGGCCATTGTGAACAATGCTGTCATCAACATTTTTTGTCATGGCCCTTTGGTGTTCAAGCACTCACCTTTTGGTTGGATATATTCCTAGCCTATGTTTAGTTTTAAAGTTGTACTAATTTATATTCCCATAGCAATGTATAGAAATTTGATTTATTCCACATTTCCCACCAACACTTGATTTTTAATTTTGATTCCAATTTTATTGTAATTTTAATTTGTCGATACCTAATGAAATTGAGCAACTTTTCTGTGTTTATTGACCACTTTGGTATTGTTTTTGTGAAGTTCTCATTTGAGTCTTCTTACCATTTTTCTGTAGGTTTATCTGACTTTTAATTTATACTTCTTTGTATATTTTAGACATAAGTCCTTTTTCAGTTATTATGTGTTGGAAATATCTTTTCTGTGTTTGTAGCTTGCATTTTTACTCTCTTAAAATGAGATCTCAAAAGATCTCTTTGGAGGAACAAATGTTCTTAATTTTAATGTAGTCCAGTTTATTAGTTTTTTATTTTATGGGTTACTGCTTTTTTGTGTTTTGACAAAAAAATTTCCATGCCCCAAGGTTATGAATATATTCTCTTGTTATTGTGTAGAAATTTATTGTTTTGGCAGTCGTGTTTAGATATACAGTTCCCTTGGAATTGGTTTTTATGAATGATGTTTTATTCTTTTCCATGAGCATGACCAGTTGGCATAGAACCAATTACAAAAAGATTATTTTTCCTCCATACTTCTTCTCCTGCTCCCCCCACTTCTCTCACCCCGTCAGTCATAATTCTAGTACTCATATAGACATGGATATATTTTTAAATTCTAAATTCTCTTCATTATATTCAGGTTTGTTTATTCCTACACCACTGTAGTGCCGTGTAAACTACCATATAGCCTTATAATTTATCTTGATTGCTGATGGAGTAAGCTCTTCCCCCTTATTCTACTTTTGTAAAAATGTCTTGGCTATTCTCTTTGCATTTTCATCTATATTTTAGAATCAATTTTTCAATTTTCACAATACCCTCTATTGAAGATTGATTGGAATTGCATTTAATCTATAGATCAATTGGGGGAGAATTTACATCATTATATGGACTTCACTAAAGCATGAATATCTCTCTCCACTTATTTAGGTCTTTAATTTCTCTCCTGAATGTTTCATAGTTTTCCATGTAGTAGTCTTAAACTCTAGGAATTGATATTTTTTGAGGTACTATAAATAATGTTTTTTATTATTTTCTGAATTTATGTTGCTAGTATATAAAAATATAATTACTGTTTGAATATTTACCTTGTATCCAACAAACTTGCTAAACTTAATTATTCATTTTCAGAATTTATATGTGTGTTCATTTGGATTGAACACATACACACTTATACTAGAATAAGGACAGGTTTTTCTTTTCTTTTCTTTTCTTCTTTTTTTTTGGCCTTTATACCTCTTATTTGTTTTACTTGTCTTATTGCATTAACTTAGACTTACAGTAAAGTGTTGAGCAAATGTCATAAGAATTCATCCTTGTGTGATTCCGAATTTGCAAGGGAAAGTTTTCAACATTTTCACCCTTAAGCGTGATGTTTATTATGTGTTATAATAATAAGATTCCCTTCTAGTCCTACTTTGCTAAGGCTTAGTGATGAATATATCTTGAATTTCATCAGATTTTTAAAAATAACACTTGAGATTATCTTTTTTTATCTTTTTGTGAGTTTTTCCTTTTTTTTTATTTTCTGGTTTCTTTTTCTAACTTTTTGGAGTGGATTTATAGCTTTAGCCTTTTTTTCCACTAGTATATTTAGTTAAAGCTATAGATACCTTTTTAAGCAAGTTTTGAGATATCACATTTTCATCATTGTGTAGTTCAAAATACAGCACTTTCAAATTGATTTTGTAATTCCCTCTGAGATCCATGGGTTATATAAAAGTGATTTCTTAATTTCCAGACATATGGAGGATTTTTTTCTTTACATTTTGGTTCTTAATTGTGCCATTGTTAGATAACATACTCCCTTTGGCTTCAGTACTTTGAAAGTTGTTGAAATTGCTGTATTACCAGGAAATAATCCATTTTAAATGTTCCACGTGATCTTGAAAAGACTGTGTGAGTGCACATTTGTTGGTTGCTATGTCCTATGTATGCATCTTTTATCAATGTGAATAAAAATATGGTTTTGTATTTATTGAGAGTTTTTGGCTTTATTCTGGACTTTATTTTCCCCTTGTCTTTTGCCCATTCCTATTTAGTTTGGATTCTTTGTCAGGTTATTTCTCCTCTATGAGGAGGTTTGTCCTGGGAGAGTTTTAGCTAGTTTTAAGATTTCTAAAGAATATGGCTACAGCTTATCTTCCCAACTCTTTTCCATTATAGTAACAGGAATGAAAAAATATGGAGAATTTTTTTTTACTTCTGCTAACTTGAAGAGCAAGCCAGGAGAGACTGATAAGTCAAGTTGATGAAATCAGAAAAGTTAGTTCATTGCAGTTATTCTTTTTCCCATTGGCAGTAGTTAGTTGGCTTAGGTGTATTAAATGGCCTATTTTTAAGTTTTAAAAAGTTTTGTTGAAATTGAGGATGCATCTTATTATAGAAGCAATGGACACTAGCCATTTTGCATTGAGTACATCAAATAACTACAATATTTCCATTAAGAATTGAATGCACCCCAACTTCCCATTTGGTTTTTCTGTTTGTTTCAGATCAAACGCTACATCATATTCTTACCTGGTACCAAAGAGATAGTTTTCCCAAATATTCATCTGTACAGGTATGTAAATTATAAATTCTGGTTAGGATTATTCTCCTGTGAAGTTACCTATAGCATGGTGAAATTTTGCTTACAACTGTGATTCTTATAAGGGAAAAGCTTATTTTTGCTTAATGAATATAAAGTCTTTGTCCATAGAAATTGCCTTTTCTTCCCAGAGTTGGAGTTTATATATTACATGTGATATTAAAATGTCTGAGTTCTAAAATGAGAATTCATTTAGGCTTTGAAACATCCTAAATTTTTTTTCAAGGTACACATAGTTGCATGCTTTAACTCTGAATTCTCATAAATTGTGACAGAAGCATAAACAAATGCAAATAGTACATGGTATTTTTTTTACTGTTTCTTTCCTTGGTTGTCATCATTTCTTATTTAAATAATATGTTAAAAAGAATTTTTAACCAAAAAGGATACTTATTGTTAGACCCTGTGTTACAGATATTAAAAAAAAAAAATAGTCACTCCTAGATTAGTGATGACTCTTTAAAAAAACAATAAGGAATGTTTTGCTTTTGTATAAATGAATCTTATAATTAGAACTAAAATTGTTTTAAGGTATCATATTAAAAATGAAGACATTGTTTTTAAGGTATTAAAAAGGAGCCATTTATTGGGTTGGCTTGAATATACTTATCCTTATAGATATTTGCCTTAGTGTATACTAAATATATAGCTTACTGTGTTGTATTTTCATTTCCAAAGACCAGATTCAGAGTCCAGAGGGTCTTAAGGCTATCTATCCACTATTCACTGTGAATGAATGTTTAATTAAAAACTACATGTATAATCACTTAAGTGATAGAAAACCTTTCATAATACAGCCTCTAAGTTTTGCTCAGATTCTTAGGTTTCTTGCTTCTACTTCATGTATAGCATAGGCCTGAAAGAAGGCATTAAAAAAAGATAGAATTTAAAGCTCTAGAAGATCTCTAGGCATGATATTGCAACATATCTGTAGAAAACTATAGGTAATTGATTATGAAAGATGGTTTTACCAGGCAGCTTATCAGTGACTCACATGAACCCACATTACACATTGTGATTATATTAATTAAAATCTTAGAGTAGCAGATCAAGTAGGGATAAATCTTTCCCTACTTAATATTCTTTGGAGAAATTACAGCTCTTTTAATTTTCTGAAGGTACATGTTCTCATCTTACACATACTATTCTTGTAGTTATACACTTAAATCTTTTTTTTTATTGTTGAGGATTTGTTGAGGGTACATAAAACCAGGTTACATTGATTGCTTTTGTTAGATAAGGACCCTCTTATATTTGTGTCCTGTCCCCAAAAGGTATACCATACCCCTTGACTCTGCAGCCCCTCCCTCCTTCCCTTTCTCAGCTCTCCCTATCCCTCACCCTCCATTGTGTACTGAGACCTTAATTGTCCTCATATCACAATTGAGTATATAGGATTCTTATTTCTCCATTCTTGTGATGCTTTACTAAGAATAATGTGTTCTGCATTCATCTAGGTTAATACAAAGGATGTAAAGTGTAAAGTCTCCATCTTTTTTTCTTTTTTCTTTCTTTCTCTTTCTTTCTTTTTTTTTTAGAGACAGAGTCTCACTCTGTTTCCCTCAGTAGAGTGCTCTGGCATCATAGCTCACAGCAACTTTCAGCTCTTGGGTTAGGTGATTCTCATGCCTCAGTCTCCCAAGTAGCTGGGACTACGGGTACCTGCCACAATGCCTGGCTATTTTTTGTTTGCAGTTTGGCTGGGGCTTGGTTGGAATCCGCCACCCTTGGATTGGCGGACACCGCCAATGGACTGAGACAATGCCTCAGTCTCCATCATTTTTAGTGTCTGAATACTATTCCATGGTATACATATACCACTCAAACTAGACCTCCCATTTGATCCTGCAATCCCATAGAGTTAAATCTTAATTCCTCTTGTTTTTGTAGGAGCGTATTGTTACTACCTAAGAATCTTCTGCATTTCTCCATATTTTCAGAACACATTGCTGTTTCAAGATTTCCATCCTTGTGGGTCTTGCTTTTTACTGCATGGGTAGCAGTAGTAAGAAGGGAGGAGATGTGAAAGCATGAGAGGGAGATTAATCTGCTTTCTAGCAGTAACACCCATATTCTTGGCCATATGCAGAGCATCCCTTGGGGGTTCTTTCCCCCAGAAACATTATTCTAACTTCTGAAAAGGAATTAGAATTTCTTGTATTGTTTTATTTTTTTTTGATTGTTTTATGATAAAGAAAGAAGTAGGAAGAAACCATTATCAATGGGTACGTAGAACCTAGAAGCACTGGCTGAGATTTCTTGTCATTGTATCTTTAGCAACAGAAATCCTTCATAAATTTCTGTTTGCCCTTTTTGTTCAACCATGTTTCCCAAGTACCTAGAACAGTCCTTGTCAGTAGGTCCTTGATAACTATTTGTTGAATAAACGAAACAACTATGTCTTTCATCTCCTTCCCTCCTTCTGCATCCAATGTGATTTGAACTTAGTGGGTCAAATATGTATAGTCAAAGTCATGGAAATGTGAAAATTCCTAATCACCATGGGAAATACAAACAGTTCATACTTTTTAGTTTTGTTTTTCAAGAGAGAGTTCTAAAGAAATGACCCCCTTTCTCCTTACACTAGTACCATAAAATTTCCAGGACTTGTGTTAAGTGGATATACTTTATCAGATGTTTTTCCGATACTGGAAAAACAAAGCTACAGAAGTTTGATGTTCATTTCTTGAGGTTTTTTGAGTTGTAACTTCAAACATGGTTTTCTATATAAACTATTTTACATATTATGAATAAATTCTTTAGTGCTATTATTACTCAATGATCATTTACGCTTGTTTTGGATCAAAGTAAACTTTTTGAATTGCCTTACAATAATAATTTTGAAGAATGTTATTCTTAGGGGCATGCATGTTACCTTTATGGTAACTAATTATACTGGACATAAATTTTTTAAACAAAAACTGAAAGTTGGAGTTTTGCAATGTATTGGCTAGCATATATATTTCATATATCAAATATTTGGCTCATTGTATTTTCATAATTCAATCACTTTAAAAAACTCCATTCCCTCCATTATGATTGTATAGAATTTTCTGAAGTTATTTTAAATAACAAATGGTTTCTTGAATGATCTCTTCAGGATTAGTGTTAAATTGTCTTTCTTTAATTATTTTGTGTTTTCTCTGTAAGTAAAAATTATTTCAAGTGGCATTGCTCTCTGAGAGTGTAGTAGTAGGCACTGGAAGATAATTACTCAAAGATAAGGAAAAGATTTTATTCAAGAAGTTGGGTGGAAAATGTCCCTCTCTTCTCAAATATTTCTGTCTACTTTTTTTTAAATACTTATATTTTCTTAAACTCAAGCTAATTGAGTCCTCTTGGTAATCTATGCAACACTAGTATATGTGTACTGAAAGGTAAAGTTAGTGCTTTGATTCGCTTGGTATTTGCTAAGGGGGCAGGGTAAAATATTAAAAATTAGTTTATTTTCTCTTAAAGTTCTCCTAAAAATATTTCTAAGTTGGGAGTTCTCTTTCTACTCATTATTCTTTGTACTCAAAATTCAAATTTTAAAACAAATTAAGTTAAGAGATAGTCTAAGAACCTAAAGGAGAAAAGGAGATGTGTAAGCTGGACTAAAAAGGAATAAATATAAAAGCATAGTGTCAAAGAGGTATAAGTTGGTTGTAGAAAAGACAATCATATTAATTTATTCATTCCATTATTTTAAGATCATGCCTGTGCTAACTCTGGGGTTAGAGCTATGTATAAGGTAGACAAAGGGTCTATTTCTGGGGATAGGGCTATGTATAAGATAGACAAAGGGTCCTCCATCACTGGAAGAAATATAAATGAATTTATTAAAATTCTAATATCCTGCAAAGGAAATAAATAGACTACTCAGATGGAGAATAATATGTATATAATTATGGGGTGGTGATGGCAGAGACTGATTTGGTAGAAAGGTCAAAGAAGGCCTTTTTAAGGTAGTAACATTAAAACTGGGACAAAAGTAAAGAAAGGGCCAAAGAATGGGCCAAGAAAGAGTCCTGAAATAACTAAAATTAGAGCAGAATTAAGTGAAATTGAGAGCATAAGAATCATTTGGAAGATCAGCGAAACAAAAAGTTGGTTTTTATTAATCTTTGAAAAGAATCTTTGGCCAGACTAAACAGAAACAAAAAAGCGAGCTCTTTAATAACTTTAATCAGAAACGAAAAAGGGGAAATAACAACAAATACCACAGAAATATAAAAGATCCTCAACAATTGCTATAAAAAGCTCTATGCCTAGAAATGTAAAAATGTAGAAATGGAATAATACCTGAAATAATGCTACCTTCCTAAACTTAACTAGAAAGAATTAAAAATTTTGAGTAAATCTGTTTTAAGCACTGAAATTGCTTCAATAATACAAAATCTTCCCAAAAAGAAAAGCCCTGCACCAGATGGTTTCACCCCAGAATTCTACCAAACCTTCAAAGAGGAACTAGTACCTACATTGTATAACTTATTCCAAAACACAGAGAAAGAAGGAAGGAATCTTCCCCAATATGTTCTATGAAGCAAGTATCACCCTGATTCCAAAATCAGGAAAGTACCCAACAAAAAAGGGAAACTATAAGCCAATATCATTAATGAATATTCTGCAAAAATATTCGGTAAGATCTTAGCAAACAGAATACAACGTCTCATTAAAAAAATTATACACCATGATCAAGTGGGTTTTATCTCAGGCATGTAAGGTTGGTTCAATATGCATAAATCCATAAATATAATTCACCATGTAAATAAAATTAAAAACAGAGACTTTACAATTCTCTCAATTGATGCAGAAAAGGCTTTTGACAAAATCCAGCATCCTTTCTTAATAAGAACACTTAAGAAAATAGGCTTGGGTGGGACATTTTTCAAACTGCTGGGAATATCTACTACAAATCCATTGCCAATATTATATAGAATGGAGTAAAACTGAAAGCATTTCCACTTAGAACTGTAACTAAAGAAGGCTGCCCACTGTTACCACTGCTATTCAACATAGTGCTGGAAGTCCTAGCCATTGCAATCAGGCAACAGAAGGAGGTAAAGGATATTCAAACATGCACAGAGGAGGTCAAACTCTCACTCTTTGCCAAGGACACAATCTTGGACCTATAAAATCTGAGGGATTCAACCACAGAGTTCTTAGAAGTAATCAAGAAATATAGTGATGTTTTGGGATACAAAATCAACGTCCACAAATCGGTAGCCTTCATATGTGCTAATAACAGTTAAACTGAGAATCAAATCAAAGACACAATACCTTTTATGGTCTCTCTAAAGAACATGAAATACCTGAGAATATATCTAACAAAGGATATATATATGTGAAGGATCTTCATAAAGGAAGTTATGAAACCCTGAGAAAAGCAATAGCAGAAGACATTAACAAATGGTAGAACATAGTATGCTCATAGCTTGGAAGAATCAACATTGTTAATATATCCAAAGCTATCTATAGATAGAATGCAATCCTCATCAAAGCACCAATGTAATACTTTGACAAACTTGAAAAAATAGTATTTTTGTTTCATATGGGACCATGAAAAAACCCAAATAGCCAATGCAATTTTAAGAAATAAAAACAAATCTGGAGGTATCACATTACCAGACTTCAGGTTATACACAAGTTTGTAGTAATCAAAACTGCATGGTACTGACACAAAAACAAAGATACAGATCTATGGAATATAATAGGGAACCTAGAGATGAACCTAACCACATATTGCCATCAAATCTTTGATAAAACCACATAAAAGCATGCACTAGGGAAAATAATCCCTAGTTAATAAATGATGCTGGGAGAACTGGTTAGCTACATGTAGAAGACTGAAACTATACCTGCATGTCTCAGCATTGACAGAAATTGACTCACTAGATAAAAGATATAAATTTAAGACGCAAAACAATAAAAATCCTAGAGGAAAATATGGGAGAAATGCTTGACAAAATTGGCCTGAGAGAAGATTTTATGAAGACAACCCCCTTGGTAAGTGCAACAACACCAAAAATAAATAAATGGGACATAATGAAGCTGAAAAGCTATCTGCACAGCTAAGGGTGCCACAACTAAAGCAAATAGACCATCTTCAGTATGAGAGAAGATATTTGCATGCCATCATCTGAGAAAGGGCTGATAACTAGAATCTACAGAGAACTCAAAGTAATCAAAGAGGAAAGAGCGAACAGCCCCATTTATAAGTGGCCAAAAGACTTAAATAGAAACTTCTCTGAAGATAACAAATAAATGGCCAACAAACACATGAAAAAAATGCTCATTGTCCCTAATCATCGGAGAAATGCAAATCAAAACCATTGTAAAATATCATCTAGCCTCAGTGAGATTAGTCCACATCACAAAGTCCCAAATCTGCAGATGCTGGCATGGATGTGGAAAAAATGTAACACTTTTACGCTGTTGGTGGAACTGCAAACTAATACAGCCTCTTTGGAAAAAAGTATGGAGAATTCTCAAAGAACTAAAAGTCAACCTTCCATTTTATCCCATAATCCCATTACTAGGTGTCTACCCAGAAGAAAAAGAAATCATTTTCTTTTCTACCACGAGGACGTTTACACCAGAGTGTTTATTGCATCTCAATTCACAATTGTCTAGACATGGCAGTAACCCAAGTGCCCATCAACCCATGAATGGAATAACTGTGGTATATGTATACCATGGAGTACTATTCAGCCATAAGAAAAGTTGGAGACTTTACATCTTTTGTGTTTACTTGGATAGAGTTGAACCACATTCTTCTTAGTAAACTATCTCAAGCATAGAAAAAAAAAAAGTATCCATTGTACTCAGTATTTATATGAAACCCAGTGTATAAACAAATACATGCCCAAATGAAAGAAAACACAGAAATATAGTCTAGCAAGGTCTAGGAGAGAGCAGGGAGATGGAAGGGGGAGGAGGAGTGTGATTGGCAGGAGGAGGGAGGACAATTGTCAGGATCTCACCTAATGTGCATGGGTGAAGCGCTCAACTACAACTTAAACTTTACTTTAGAACTGAAAACAATGTAACCTAAACGTTTGTGCCCTCATGTTAATTTGAAATGAAAAAGAAAGAATTGACATACTCAAAATATTGACTGTTCCATATATACGTGAATATGATATAATACCCTGTTTATTTAGATTTTCTTTTATTTCCTTTATTAAAGTTAATTTTCTCAGTAAGTTCTTATAACATTTTTCATTTACTTTATTACAATAGTAATAGGATATTTATTCCTCTTTTCTGACTATTGCTGGTATTTGAAAAAAGCTATTTTTTTAATGTGAACTTCTGTCTGGTGACATTTAGTGTATTCTTTTACTAATTGTAACAATTGGCATATTACATGAAATTTTCAATGTAAATGGTCTATAAATAATAATGGCATTGTATCTTTTCAACTGTTATATAAATCACCCCCCAGGACATACAGCCTTGTGAACTTTTAGTACAGCGTTGAATTTCAGCAGTGATAGTGAGCAGCCTTGTATTATTACTGTTTAAGCAGTGCTTATGTTTCCCTACGAAGAATGGTATTTAATATGTTTCTGTTAGATATTTTTATCGAATTAAGAAAAAGTCCTCAAATTTTTAATTTGGTAAGAGTTTTTATTATGTGTGGCTATTAAATTTACCAAATACGTTTCATTATCAGTTGAGATGAGTTTTTTTCCTCTTTTGAATTATTCCAATAGATTTTCTAAGGTTTTAAAAGTTTTAATTGTATTTTATTTTAAACCGTTGTCAGTTTTGGCTAGAATTATATGAGAACATTTTAAAATGCACATTCTCTGTTACAGAAATCTGTCTTCAGAGGACATGGAGATGACGTGTTGGGAAACTCAGTAACTAACCAAAGGTAAAATACTACCAGAAATTTATTTTTTCCTAATATTTAATTATCATTAAAATAATTCCTTTAGAATTAAGAATATTTATTTTATGGCCTACTACAATTTGGTGTAAATGATCATTATTAAATTGACAAGAAAAAGCGAGTGTTACGAAGTCTGTAAGAGTGATTATCGGCCATGGACTATTTTGCCCCTGTTCTACCAGGAAGTATTTGTCAATTTTTGGAAACATTTTTGTACTGACATCTAAAGGTTGGAGGCCAAGGATATTGTTAAACATCCCATAATGCACAAGCCAGCCACCATACACAAGTAAGTTTTCAACCTAAAATATTAATTGGATAAAGATTTGAAAACCCAGGTTTAGGGAAAAAGGCAAAATTTTGAGTCCTTTGAGTAAATTAAACATCAAATTTTGATATATAGTTTATTTTACTTGTTATATAATTTAATAAACTAGGTGAAACAGAATATGTTGTATTTTTAATTCTGTATTTTTTTCTTTAGCTTTTTAGCTCCTCTTATTGCTGAGTATGATAACCTTCTAGCACAACTAAATGAGCAGCTGAAATATTATCAGGTATGAAATAACAGTTATGAAGCTTTTTGTGATATTTTATTATGAAAAGATAAAGTAAAACAGACTGTACTTTAAAATAAAATTCATGAGTGAGAAAACATGTAGCTGTAACTAATCAATACTTGGTTCTCTGTATGTGCATGTGCACTCCTGTGTGTGTGCGTGCTTGCGTTATGTTTAAAGAGCATCTTGTGTTTCATCTTTTAATCTGTTATTTGCTTGCCCTTGCTATCTGGCATGAGATATCTCTTAGACACTTAGAAGAATCTTTTAATCTCATTTTGTTCGCTTACATTTTTTTTTTAACCCCAAGCTATCTCATATCCTTTTAGACTTTTCTTCTTATCCTCATTCTACCTATATTTCACATTATTTGCAGAATGGATTTTTTCCCCAGTTTCAAATATTTCGTCTATCAGATGCTTTTATCTTATGTCTTTTAAATGCTATTCATCCACTTCTAGTATAGGTTTAACCTGCAGCAGCTTTTTCCTAAAATCCTCATAGTAATGAAGGTTTATTTTAGGAGTGAAGAGAATAAAGAAACTGAGGAGATGTCTATACAGACAGATTATCATTTTGGGTCCAAGGGCTTATAAGACTAAGACAGGGGTGGGGAACCTGCAACCTTAAGGCCAGATGTGGCCTTCTGAGTCCTTAAGTGCATCCATTTGACTGAATCTGATTTTTATAGAACAAATCCTTTTATTAATACATTTTTGTTCAGCTTTTATATTTTCATTTTATTTTTAAAATGAACACATTTAAAATACCAAACATAAAATAAGTTTCAACAAAGTAATGCTACCCAAATGACCAGCCAATTAGAACATTTTAGTAAGCCATAAGCGCTAAGTCAATGGCTGCTCCTCTCAAGACTTAGTTCTCCCTTTCCTTGCCTGAGTGGCACCACTATGAGTTTATGGGGGTCGAGAGTGACACTCTGTTATCAGCTTTTGACAGTGGTGTGCCATGTTTCTGTTTGAAGTGGAGTTTGTGAAAAGTTGCATAGCTGGACAGTGTTTTTAATTCTGTCTGCTTAACAGCCCATCATGTCAAAATGGCAAGAGAATGCTGAAAGAAGAAAACAGATTTTTTTTTTAATTGAG